TTAGGAAAAATATTAATATAGTGCAAGCTAAAACTACAAGAGCGAGCAACACTTTTTTGGTAAATAAAGATTTTATCATGAAATGTATTTATGTAAAGATTGAGAAAAAGCACCTGAGAGTTGGACAACGTACAAACAGCCCATTCACTTTTTGCTTAAAGACTTCAAGTTATCCACTTCTGCCCCAAAAAAGTTAAAAATCCAAGTTTGTATATTTATCCACATTTACCTAAAACTAGTCTCATCCTTACTTGTGAGCAAATAAAAAAAGTAAGTGACTAGTCTTTCAGATTACTACATAGAATTAAAACAAACAATTGATGTTTCCTTGTTTTTGACATCAAAATCAGATTAGAACATGTTAGCAAAAGAGCAAAAAATGACCTGCAGTAAGAAACCCAAGATATTACCACGTGTAAAAGGCTAAAAACTGACACACAACTGGAAGTTGTCATAATTTTAGATTCAGACAGCATGTCCTACAAGTAATTTTACTGCACAAGACAAAATAGGAAAATACATGTAAAACTGTATAGAGAAGTTACAGTAACATATATCTAGCAACCAATGAGAAGAAACAGTTCATTCTACATTACACAAATATCCTTCTAAATAGGACGACCACAAGTTCCTCGCGTCCAGCTTTTATAGTAGTAGTAATAATAATATGTGGGTCCACCTGCTAACCTCAGTGAACAGGTTTACTCGACCACCTGTGCTTGTGAGTTGTAAGGGACTGCCTGGACACCAACTCGAATAAAAAATAAGTTGCTGATTGACTTCTCATGGAACGTAATACAAGATGCTTTCTCTTATATGATTAAGCCTGTATCATTGAAGACACTCTGAAAGAAACCAAATCTCAGAGTAAGATGTCAGATTGTTAGCTTGTTGTTCAAGAGACATGATGTATTGTTCTGAGGGACTATTGAGTCAATTTCAGTTTCTCCAGCTAATATATTTAACAACAACTTACATTTAGGTTGTAAATTTTTCAAGGAATTTCCCATAAGTTCATATCATACATTATGATCCGCATGAAACTACCATCATCCTATTGACATCTTATAATGCTGAGTAGTAGAAGCAATAATGATGTTCCGTAGAATATGTTCTTGGGAACTTAATGGCTGTCTGTATTTCATTTTCCTTTGCAGAGGAACAATTGAGGGAGATGTTCTGATAGTGTCTTCCAACAATTTTCAAGTGCAAAATGTGGTAAAAAAGGCTCATCTTGGTCTTGTAACAACATTGAAGTTCTCAGAAGATTCGAGGTCCTAAAATGTTTTCATGCTCCTGTTAGTACCTGTAAAAGCCTGCAGTCAACACAACCAATTCTAATTTTTTCTTTCTTTCTTCAGGGCTTTGCTTTCTGCCTCCTTGGATTCAAGAGTGAGAGTGACAATTATAAAGGAAGAGAAGAAAAGTGGTGAGTATTTAATTACCATATCAATATTAGGAACATGATGGTAGAGAGTAGCTAGTTTATGTGTGGTAATTGTTAGCAGGTAGCCAGCCGAGTCGCGAAAATGAGCCTAACGTTAGTAGTTTGTAAGCTTCTGCTGTTAATCCTGATTAGTGTAGTTTTAACTCAATCATCATGATATTACTGATGACATGAACTAGTAGGAAACAACTGCAAGAAGTTTGTCTTTGTTAGCATTTCAATTGATTTAAGTTTGGTAAGTCATTAGTACCTGAATTAATCTGGATCATTTTCTCCAACTGGCTGATATTGATTGTACTGCAGACAGATCTCCTAGTCTAGCCATCAAGTGCTATTCTTTGTGCAAATGCATAATCGACTATTGTTATGGTAATTATGTCATTAAACATATCGTTTCATTGCAGGTCTGAGCTTGTGGATCGTCATACTTGTTCTTTTGATTGCAATTGCTGTATATTATGCAGCAAGCAACGGCATTCTTCCATTGGAGCTAAACTCTATATTAAAATGACGAGCTTTATCCCCAAAGAATTTTTATAGGTGAAACAGTATCTGAAACATTTTTGAAGGCCATCTCTGGAACAGTAGGCTTGAATTCGAGATTCGATAAGTTAAAAGACATCTGATGTTTTTAATGTGCTTAAACTGTTAGACAACAGAGAGTTAATATACCTACTTTGTCCTCCATTGTACAAAACAAGTTGTGTAGGTTTATTTCTTTCAATTTGCAACTCTTTTTTGAAGATTTATATTACTTAAAATTCTCTTTTGCCTTCAGTATATAAGTAGGGATGTCATATCTTTCAAATTGACAATATTAAGTTCACATCGAAAGAGTATTTGAAGCTGAAATTAAAAAAAGAGTACTGTGTTAATTGATAAACTTTAAAATCGATCGAACTGAACCTGATCAATACACAATCTTACTTCTACTCTACAAAATACATATACAGCTTAGAAAAAAGGGAAAAAGGATGAATTTATTCCTTTAACTTTGTTGAACGGTACGTCTATGTCTCTCGTTATACTTTGGGTTCTCTCAGTCCCTGCCGTCCAGTTATTGTACATACATACCCCTCTTACTAACCGTCTTCTCATTCTGTACACATGTCTTAATCCTAATCAACTATCCGTTTGACCATTGTTTTTAATTCATAAATTAACAATCTGTCCCATAAATTCGACCCACAATTAAAAGATTCACCCGACCCACAATCAAATAACCCTTCACCTTTTTTTTTTAAGGAAATATCGTTGGTTCCTCTCTTATCAAAGAAAAAAAAAGGAGAAACAAAAAAAAACCATAAACTCAATGCTATCTTTCTTTAAATTTCAAACAACAATTAATCAATCTTTTTCAACTAACACAAATAGATTGTAAGAATACTTTTATTCATGTGCAAAATTAAAATAAAGAAATTTTCAACAACAACCACAAAAATATGGTGTACTTGGTTCAATTCACTTGGTTGGAGATAAAGCTTGTTGTTGGTTTGTTGGTTTTTTCTCCATCATTGGAGTCTACTTGTTGTTGACTGTATTGTTTACTCATTTTATTAAATTTCAATTTTGCCGCGGAATTCAAGAAAAATAAAAATCCAATTTAAAGCTTGACGCTTTATCGTCAATAGTGATATTATTTATAACCCATTTCAACAAAAACTAATCAATTTAAGTTCAATTTTTCTTATTTGATTGCAAACCCACTTTTCTTGAAGCTTTGTCCATCACTAGTGATAATATTTTCAACTCTATTCACCAACAAATTAAAATGGGTCTCTTGTTTTTCAATGAAAACACATGCTACTATGTCTTTATTTTAATGAGATTTGAAAGAGCTTCAAATGACAATGTAGTGAAGAACAAGTTTATCTTTTATTTGATTTAAAAGGTTTTCGGTTATGTTTTAATGGAAAAGGGCTCTTTTTTTTTTTTTTTATTTTAAATGTTATGGTGTTTTAATTTGGATCACGGGTGCGTAAAATTATGAAAAACGAATGATAATTTTAAGCAAATAAATTGAGATGAAACTACATGTCCGTTGTTTATTCCAACGATATACACAATTCAAAAGAATAATCATATATTACTAAAAGCATGAACAAAAAAAATTGAAAGTTGAATTACAGTTTTACCCTTTTATAAATTAAATTGTTATAAAATATTTAAATATTTAATTGTATAAATTTAATTAAAAGGTTAATGACTTTTAGACTTCTAAAGATTGATTTCTAATTAAATATCCAATTAATTAATATTTATCATCTATAATCTATATGTATATAATAATTATAAAAAATTTTTTAAAAAAAGTCTTTACTAAATTGCTATATTTTTCCTCTTTCTCATAACTTTTTCCTTAACCCCTCTCATGAATAATATAATTTATGTGGATAAAGTATTATCCTTTATGATAAATAACAAATTTAATAATATGAAGAGTGCAAATCTGCAAAATGGAGACACACGTTGATAATGTCCTCTCGATTATTATTAAAGAATGACTCTATCTTCACAAATTTAAATTCATTAAAGCTTAATTACGTGATAAGAACTTTAGTTGTTCTTTCTACATGGTTTGCTAATTTTAACTCTTTTTTCATATTTTTCATTTATTTATTATTATTTGTTAATTACTTATTCAACTTTATACTCTAAATATTCATAACTCTTATCTTTCATATTCATAACCTCCAAATATTTAAACTAAAACTTTAATATATCTTTTGATATTCCTTCTATTCTATCCATATAAATTCAACTTTTTTAATCTCATGAAACCCCTACCAAGATTATTAGGCTATCATTTTCATTCTATAGTTAAAGTAGATGAAGAAACCTGTTGAATTTTGATAGGATATGAAAGGAGTTGATAAAAACACAGAGAGTTATGTACTAATTTTGTACTTATTTTTCATCTATACATAACAATTTTTACATTGGATCTTTCTTAAATCTGTTTCTTTTTGTCTTATCACCATCAGACTTCTTAATTTAGTTTTTTTATGAATGTTTTATTGCGTAAGTCTTTATTCTTATTTTGTAATTATTAAATTATATTATTCATTAATTTTCATAAAATTTTTATAATTATAACATATCTATAAAAATTCACATAGAATACACGTGCCTCAGAAACTAGTATATACAATCCTAAAATATAATGCAGTATATTAATCGGGGAAAAAAAAGTCAAACAACAACAAAAAAAAATACCTGAGTGCTGACAAATGCCACTGTCAATAGGCCATATGTCTATTGATTAGCAGTAGCAAAGTCCAACATAGGAATTAGATTCCCCTTTCAATAAATCACTATCTTTTCCAAATATAATCTCTATTGATTCTCTCACTCCTCCAATCCAAAAATAAGACCTCATCAAAATTCTTCTTCCATAATTTTTTTTTTGTTAATTAATCCCCTCAAAAAAGGGTTGAAGTAAGTAGTTGCCTTTCAAACACACAGAGTGATACAGAGCTAAGAATAGAGTAGTAGTTGGCCAAACTTAATTTTGCTGATTGGAACTTTGTGTACAACAAGGTGAGAATTCTCTTCTCAATTCATACAGCTATCTTTTCCTGCTTAGTTTATTTAATTAATGTATTTTAGGGCTTATGCTGTTGTGAATTCATTTTTCTTTTAACAACTTTTGGGGGTTTGTGAAGATTGGAGGGTCATGAGAAATTGTTGAGTTCACACAACTATTAGTTGAGTGATCGTATGAGAAATCAATGTGGTATGTTGTTCACTTATTATCTTTGATTCTGAACTTTAATTAGATACTATTATAGTTAACCTATTCAGCATCTAATTAGGAATAGAAGAATCATTATTGGTGATATGTAAATATCCGATCAAAGTTAAGTTACACAGCTTATCAGGCACACCTCAATCCAAACTAGTTGGGATTGTTCAATCGCCATCAATTTGGTGATTCGTGTTGGATTGTAAAGTGTTTTGGTTATTTTGGAGAATTATACATGTAATTAGTTTGATGCTCCATTCATATGTTTTGATTTTACATGTTGGTAGTAATACATTGAGCACATAGTTGTTCCAGCTGAAATACTTGGAATAATTCTACCACTTCTACTAGGAGTAGCCTTCGCGGAAGCCTGAAGTAATGACTTGTGTGCAACATCGAAAGAGTTGTGATGTAGTGGGTTATTTTTACCTCTAGCAGTGGTTTGAAATTGATACTTATAGAATTTATTTCACCAAGTAGTAGTGTCTTTGGCATCCTTGACTTCGGCGTCCTTTCAGGTGCAGTTGTCGTAGAATTTAGGTAATTCAGAAGGACTAAACGTACTTATGAAAGGGAAAACTTTGGAAAGAATAGCTACATAAAATTCTTCGTTTGTGGTAATAAAGGAGCAATGAGTTTTGCTGGATACAAAGAATTAGTGTATCCATAAATGTCAAATTGATAAATGACTGTTTTTTGAAGGATTTTAGCGGACTCTGTAATGACATGATAGATGAAGTTACAATACATAAATAAAACTAAAATAGGATGATTGAGGTAGAGTACCACGAGAATGCTATACAATATGAAGATACTTAATATTGACAAAGGAAAGTTTATGCTATAATTGTGAGACCAACAATGTTACAGGAAAAGTGAATAGAGGCCTAACATAAAAGTATCTATGCTCTCGATGGAGGCAAAGCGCCATGTGAGTTATCTGCCCAAGTCTTGGTGGATAAAGTTGCCCGGTACCCTGTGCTGGTGAAAGTCGGGGATAATGGTCCAGCTCTCTACCCTTCTCCACTTAATAACGCAGCTTAGTTAGCATGGTGCAAGGTTCGAACCTCTGACGGTCAGAAGTTCTTCAACCTTTGCCACTTAAAACTAAGTCCTTGGTACAGAATAATAAATCTGTCTTTGTATGCTATTAATATCTATATGTCATTGGTTCACCGTGCTCTAGAAAAATTGATATTCGATATGTTCCAAATAGACAGGGCCAACTCACTTGTGTGCTACATTTTTGGGATTAGCGGATCTATATGTTGTATATGCCAATATACTTGTACTTCACTCCCATCCTAAATGTCGTACTTTGTTGTTTTCACTTCAAATAGATCCTTTCAGTTTGAATGGGTATACCTAAGGATGATATGTCACAATCCAATCAAAAAGATAGTTCCCTTTCTAATGTACCGGAGAAAGATGCAGAAAATGTGCATCAGAAAAAGGGTCTCGAGAGTGAGGGTGGTGCATCCGAATCTAGTCGAGTTTCTGTACTACCGAAGAAGGAACCATACATTATATCTTGTAAATCAGATTCTCCTGTAAAAGATGGAAACATATCCCTAGTACCTGGAAAGGCTTCAGATTCTTCACAACAAATACAAAGTCAGAAAATGGAAGAAGTTGTTTCTCAACCTCATCAAGAACAAGTTACTTCTTCACCAATGGCTGAGAATGCTTTGTGTAAGTTACAATCTAGGCGGAACCCTGATACGAGTGTCCAGGATTTGCCATCTGATCAAGGAGTCACTCCCTTCAGTGAACCTGAAAAACCATCTGAAGATGGATATAACTGGCGAAAATATGGTCAGAAACTTGTTAGAGGAAATGAGTTCACTCGGAGTTATTACAAGTGCACGCGCCTTAATTGTCTAGCAAAAAAACAAGTGGAGAGATCACAAGATGGTCATATAACCAATATTCACTATATAGCAACGCATGAACATCCAAAACCTCTAAGTAGTCCCCAAATCTCCCCTGAGCTTGTAGTGCCTTCTGAAACGAGACGACCAGACATGTCAACGGGAACACCACATGAAGGTACTCAAGATTGTCCGAGTCAATTACTTTGTTTGGTCTAGATAAGTAGGAATTATAAATTTTAATTAGTGACATAATTGGCTGAAGGTGAGAAATCTACTGCACTTGGTGAAGCATGTCAATCTATCGTACCATCGGAGAGCCTGAGTTCAGCGACTGTTGTATCAGCTGGTGGTAGTTCACAAGATACAGTCCTGAAGCCACTTAAACCAGGAGATGAGGGTGATAATAATGGTGGTCGCAACTCAAAGAGACGGTATGTGAAAATCAAACATCTTCTTAATTTGTACTCAATGTTCAGCTCTACATAAAGTTGATCATTGTGCAACTGTTCTGCAACAGGAAGAAAGAAGTACCTACGAGTGATGACATGACTCCACCTATGAAGTCTCCTAGTGAATCACGACACATTGTTCAAACTAGCAGTGAAGTGGATGTAGTCAATGATGGTTACCGGTGGCGTAAATACGGGCAAAAATTTGTGAAAGGAAATCCAAATCCTAGGTAAATATTTCCTTTTCTTAAAACATGTTTGTAAACTTTTGCCCCTTGCAAAATAGATTTTCCTTATCACCTCTTAACCTTGAGTTCTTTTCTTGTAATGAGTTTACAAAGTATTTCTATTCTTCCACTGTGACCCGTGAAAGGAACGAAAGCAATCTAATTTGATGTATCAGAACAATTGCTGTCTTCATATCACACTGACTATCCACCACTCCTTTTTAAGTTGTCCCAAAGTACTCTGGAAAATGGAATAGTATTTGCACGAGTCCCGCTCACTCTTCTTGATACAACTTCTATAAATACTTCCTTTTAGATAGAAGTTAAAATACTAAATCCTCCTATATGGTCTTACGATCATATCTTGCGGTAATCTTAAATGAGACATTAGACCTTTTAATCAGATTAAAAAAGAACAACAAATAAAGAGCTTGCAGTGTAGTTTTGTATATAGAAGCTGATATGATCAGTTTCTGTTTCACTGCTCCCAGACTTTATATGTCCAATATGAATGTTTGTATCATACTTTTCGTCGTTGATAATGTTCAACTTTCTGTATGCTTTTGTCGTTCTCTTTCCTTCCACCCCCCGCTTCCTGGTTTTGGTGCTCTCCGTCTCTATAAATTCAGCTTCTTTTATCCGCAGGAGTTACTACCGATGCTCGAGTGCTGGTTGCCCTGCAAAGAAGCATGTGGAGAGGTCATCCCATAATCCAAAATCAGTGATTACAGTATATGAAGGGCAGCATGACCATGACATCCCACCTTCCAGAACTGTTATCCAAAATACAGCAGAGGCTGATTCTAATACAACAAGAATAAGTGGAGAGTCCACATCTGAATCAGGTGAAAACAAACATGTTGTCCATATTGGTGCAAGTTGAGAGCATAATGCCAAACAATCAAACTCAATACAGATTTAGATAATGTTACATCATCAAGTTATCTAATCTTATCTTTTTTCTTATTTGTTGTAATTGGTCAATTGTTCTCCACTTGTAGGAGAAAAAAGAAAGGATAAATATATATGTATTATAGAAACAGCTGATTTAACCTCATAATTGGTGTGAATTCCTATACTTAAATGTATAAGTTGTGTTAATAATAAATTTAAGAGAGTTCAGATTGATAAGTGTATCGATCAGACTAATTTCTTGGGGTTCTATTTAAATAGGGTTTGATGAAGATAGAGTGTATATAAAAAGTTTATTTCTGATAAGACCCTCTACTTGAGAAAACATTTTAAGAACAGGTTGAGACCACAAGATGAAGTAAAGTTTTGATTTTTCTACGTATCATTAGTTTGAAACCAAAAAATTCAAAGAACTTTTTTACTTTCTTAGACTTTCGATTAAGTTAAAACTAGATAAACAAATCGAAACAGAGAGAAAAGTTGTATTGGTACCCAAAAGTTACCTGGCCTCTGCATTACATGACATTGACAACATAAAAAACCAGTAATAAGATTATTGTCTTGTAAGATCATCAAAACCTATATCTATATCTTCCTCTGCACATCAGTTGTAATATGGCAAATGTAAAAGTGGATTCCAAGAAATAAAACTTTTACTTTGATTGATCAAGTGATACACTTGACAAGGAACCTGTTTTCTTACTATATATTAGCACTTCAGCTGTTACAAAGATGAGAGAGAGAAAAAAAAGGGACCAAAGAGAAAAGTTCTATGAAAGAACCATTTGTTATTTCCAGGCACAAGAAGCAACCAAATCTCTGTTCATCCAACCAAGGTAAAGAGCACCATCTCTTTCTTCAAGCCTATACTTATCAGAGTAGCTCTCTAGCAATGTCTTGATCGTAGCGTTCACCAATGAACTCAATGGGTATGGGTTAAAACCAGCCATTCTAAACCGCGACTTCCACTTACCAAGAAGTTCATGTCGTTCTACCCTTTCAATCCCTTCACATGCTATGATGTTAACAACGTCCCTCGCCAAACAATGCTGCTCAACATTGATGCGCTCCTTGTGTCCCCTTGGAAGAGTCATATCGATTGATTCAAACATGGCTGAATAATAATCCAAGGTTTCAAGAAATCGAGGAAAGAAAGCAGCAGTATTTGTATTAGATTCTTGCTCAACAAGGGTAACCACCTTGGGGTTGAGGTTTTTGACCATCCGTAATAGTCTATCCCGATGATTTTCAGTGCTCACACTTTCATCTGGCATGTGATGTAATGTGAAAGCAAAATTTACTGCTAGTGCTTCTCCAGGTTGAATTCCAAGGTTTTTTAGCTGAATATCAGAACCCGACATGGCAGCAGGATGAAACTCAAAAGGAACCTTGAAAGTTTTAGCAAGTTTGGAAAGCCTCTGCCCCACGATATCAAGGCCTCCTCCACGAGCATATGCTGAGGTGGAATCATCAATGCCTGTTATGCGGATATGTGGGGGTCCTCCAGGACGAGCTGCAAAAGCTTGGATCATAGGCACCCACTGGCTCCCTTGAGCAATTTGAAAATCAATTATATGGACTCTATTTTCGTCCTTCATTGCTTCTGCAATGGCACCATTAGCTGACATGTATCCAAATTTGAAGTAAGGGCAAATCTCGTAAAGAACGTGCATATAAGACAACAGCTCAAAACTTGCGGGTTCTTTGCATCTCAAGGATTTGCATATGGAACTTCCTGATGCACCCAACCTTGCAACAAGCCCTTCCAAGATGTATGCTCCCAGTCTCTGAATTGGTTCCCCTGACACTGATACCATTTGACGCAACTCAGATATCAACACTTGTGCAGTTACTAATTCACCATCAGAAACTGCTTTTGCGCAAGCAATAAGCACCTGTTTCAAATCCCGTCTAGGTATGGCCAACATCATTTGCCTCCAGCTATCAATTTCTGAGGAAGCTATACTGCTTGCCAAGGAATTATCATAACTCTCCTGGAAGTCCGCATCAGGTCCCAGCATAGCTGTTTCCAATTCCTTTAGCTTGTGCATGAAATCAGTCACATCATCTGTAATACAAGATCCACTTATGGGTGAGCCATAGTTAGTTGTCTCAGGGGACTGACGAACATCTGACAGGTACAGCTGAGATTCTTGATTGCACGTCGTGCTTCCATTTGATGAGAAACTAGCAGTTGATGGTGAGTGGTAAACAGCGTTGCTTCCAGTGGCAGAAGACGCCTCCAGCATGCAATAGCGGTCATGATAAGTCTGGAAGGAGTGATTACCTCCAAGGCTGCCATTAATGCAGCTCAAATGGCTTTCTAAAGTTTGAAACTGAGGCAGATAGTAGGCCTCTGCCTTCTGCACAGGTTCACAGTAAAGCATATTAGACATGGTTGTTCTTCTGCGCCGTGATGCTTGCATTGAAAAGATTGTTCCTGCCTCGTCAATATATGACCTATGCAGTCTGGTATCTCTTTGGTCTGCACGTTTATTGGGCGTCAAGGATTTTTCGCTTGACAAGGTTTCATGGGTGCCACGGTGGAGTGATTTTAATCTTCACTGTGAGACCAACATCAGTAGCTGAGCAGCATTCACAATTTGTATAGGGAAGGACAATCCCTAGCAGCAAGACATGACAACCTACACAATGTATGCACAATATTTGTTAAAAGAGAGCAGAAAAAGGAACTAATCGCGCTCTTCAAGGTCTATATTACAGTTTGTTAACATTTAGTGAGATTACTACAGCAGCTACACATTATGATCTTTCTACTTTAAACCAACCTTAAATTTGGTCACTACTATCGCAGAGCATTTCTACAAAGTAATAAATCAAGCAAAGAAAACCTGAAAAAATGATGAATGATTGCAGAATCAATCACACATCAACAAAAAAAAATGCAAATCTGCATCATCAACTTACCTACAACTTCTATAGATTTATGCTACTTCATCTAATTTATGTTCAAGCTGCAAAAGATGCTGTGAACTCTATGTACTACTGTTCAAAGTTTTTTTTAAAAATACATATTTAAACTAAAGTTACATTCATTGCAAGAAAAGGACAAGTGACCAAACTTGTCTAATGGTCAAAACATGGAGAAACTTTAAGTTTGTCCAATCTGTTCACCTTGAAAGCAAATTACACCAGAAATCCTTTGCAAAGATCCACTATAAACTCAATTAGCAAAAAGGATAAGGATCTCATGATTCAAAAAAAAAGGGAAGAAAGAAAGAAGCCAGTGATCTGAACCAAACAACATTGAAAGTAAAGAGAGAACTTCTCTTATTAAACAAGATATTCTAAGAGACAATGTAAGCAATTCAGTTTTAGTTACACAAAATGCAGTAATTTCTCAAGAGTAACAGTCGATTCATGAAAAAGAAACAAAAGAATGAAGCAGAACACAGTTTCTATCAGTCCAATTAAAACTGAAACTTTCTTGAAATTGAATGCAAGCGTTTCATTCAGCTGCAATAAATTCCAAAACAACAGAATATAAACAAACTCTTTGCCATTCTTGATTGAACCCCACTACAAAACAGAGCTTCATTATCTCAAGAATCCACTATATTTAGAAAAAAATGATTGAACCCCACTTCAAAAAAGAGCTTCATTATCTCAAGAATCCACAATATTTAGAAAAAATTGATTGAACCCCACTTCAAAAAAGAGCTTCATTTTCTCAAGAATCCACAGTATTTAGAAAAAATTGATTGAACCCCACTTCAAAAAAGAGCTTCATTTTCTCAAGAATCCACAATATTTAGAAGAAAAAATCCTAAAAGATGAAAGCTGTCCATAGAAAAGAACAAATTGCAAGTAACAAAATCCAACCTTTGGCAGATCTGACAAAGAAGGGAACTAAGCTAACATTTGACTATAAATTATTGAATCAGATTCATCTTCAAACATCTGTTTAAGCCATTAAATTTGAGCCAATTTTAAAAATCTGATCTTTAAATAATTCCAACTTCCTTACAAACCAGTTCTTGAAGTTTCTGAAACTTCCACTCACAAAAACTTCAAAATTACAAAATGCATGTCCAACCACAACTTCAAAAACTCAAATTTTCAAGTTTCAACTTCAACCATAGCCAAACAGAGCATAATTTATGGATTTCCACCCAAAAAAAAATTCCTCAAACTAAAACAAGAAACTCAAAAAGATTTCAACTCTATCTTCTAATTGAAGAAAAAAACAGAAATGGGATAACATATCAAAAGAAGCTCAGGTGCAAGAAGAAAGAACTTATGAAGAGAACTAAAGATTTTTCATATTTGTGAATCATCAGTTGCCATACCAACCTTAAAACTGAAGTATCCCATATTCTTTTTGGTTTTTTTTCTTCACAATATCTTGTTTTTTCTTTATTACAACTCAAAGAAGAGTATATTTATTTATGCAGAAGATAGAGAAAAGGGGGAAGAGGAGCAGAGGTCCCTATGATGGTAAAATTCTCTGAATTAAAATATTATAAAAAGATTAAGTTAATTATAAAAGACCTCACAGTTTAGGAAAAACACAACAATGCCACTATAACTATGGTTTTTGTTATTAATTCAACTAGGGGCTTAAAATTTTTTTTTAATCAACCATCGGTGGACATCGCCGTAAAGTATTTTTTCATCCTTAACTAGAGGTTACTCGATGTAAGTCTCTTCGGATATGAAATTATCTTTATTAGGAAGCTTTTATATTTCAAGATGGAATTTTTCGACGTAAATTTAAATTTAATCAGACTTCAATACATATTGACCACTAAGTGAATATTTTTTTTAAAAAAAGTAGAGTGACTATTTGACTAATACTACGAGTCGTGGCAAGGTAATCGAACTATTTGACTATACTTGCTTTATATTTTTTATTCAGATTTCTTGAATTTGAGTCTTTTGGATATGGAGTTATCTTTGTTGAATTTTTTTTTTAATTTTTAATATAGTGTAAATTTTAATTTGATCAAACTCCGATATAATTAGTGGACTTATGTATGAAAATTTAAAAAGGAAAAGTAGGGTGACTATTTGACTAATACCTATGGGTCGTGGTGGTTAAATAAGATGAAATCTTAATTTGAGTATTGTGAACGGAAAAGAATAGTTTTTTTTCTTTTTTTTGGTCTAAATGTGGTATAAAAATAAACTAAACTAATCAACAAATTTTAAATATTAAATTAAAAATTTCAATAGTTGGTAATAGTATAGTAAAAGGA